CATCGCCTTCATTGTGTAAATGAGGAAACAGACTGGCTTGGTCGCAGTGACTGTGGCGTCCTTGAGATGCTCACATTACTGCCCGGCCTGCCTCCCACCAGGAAGTCTGGGAATGAGGAGATTCAGATAAACTTTTAAAATCCCAAACATGTCTGTTTATGGCTCTTTGGTCCCCTTTCCTCCTAGTGGTGACTTTTGTGCTTCTGAGTTGTCCCCTGAGAGCTTGGTCTGGGAAAAGAGGAGGGGGAGTTCTCGCTGGAGGAAGAGCAGCTTTCTAGTCATGGGTAGGGCTTGGGCACAGTGGTCCCAGTTCTGCCTACTTTCTGGACTAACTGACAGTGCCCTGGCTTTTGCAGGCTCTTTCTCCTTCACTTCTCACTAAATGGAAGCTTCCCTGCTCCTTGGCCCTATCCCTAGAGTTGCTGAGAGAAGCAGGACTTCCTCCAGACCTGATGGGCTGCGGGCTGTGCTGCAAATGGCGTGCCCCACCTTCTGTGCTCTGACACCTGAGTGCCAGAGACACACTGCCCAGCCTCTGAGTTACACATTCACAGCACAGCCAGCCACCTTACACACGCCAAACACCGCCTCATCTCCATGGAATTCAGGGGCCTGGCCCTTCCACACCCAGAGTACATTCTGTCCAGCAGCTCTGAGGAGCCTGTCCTGGGCTGGGTCCTCTATGGTGCTAGATGTACAATGCCATTTAATCCTACTGAAAACCTCACGAGGCGGGTGTTAGCTCCATTTGGAGATTTTTATTTTTACTTTATTTTTGAGACAGGGTCTCACTCTGTTGCTCAGGCTGGAGTGCAGTGGCATAATCATGGCTCACTGTAGCCTCAACCTCTAGGGCTCTAGTGATCCTCTTGCCTCAGACTCCCGAGTAGCTGGGACCACAGGTGTGCACCACTGTGTCCTGCTTTTTTTTTTTTTGGAGACGGAGTCTTGCTCTCTTGCCCAGGCTGGAGTGCAGTGGCGAGATCTCAGCTCACTGCAACCTCTACCTCCCTGGTACAAGTGATTCTCCTGCCTTAGCCTCCTGAGTAGCTGGGATTACAGGTATCTGTCACCACGCCCAGCTAATTTTTTTTTTTGTATTTTCAGTAGAGACAAGGTTTCATCATGTTGGCCAGGCTGGTTTCGAACTCCTCACCTCAAGTGATCTGCCTGCCTCGGCCTCCCAAAATGCTTGGATTACAGGCGTGAGCCACCACGGCTGGCCCTGCCCTGCTAATTTTTAAAATTGTTTTGTAGAGATAGGGTTTTGCCATGTTGGCCAGGGTGGTCTTGAACTTCTGGGCTCAAGTGATCCACTTGCCTTGGCCTGCCAAAGTGTTGGGATTACAAGCGTAAGCCACTGCGCCCAGCCCCTCGTTTAGAGATGAAGACGCGTGCTCAGAGAAAAGTCTCCACTGGGACCTATCCCAATAAATTAGGTGCAGGCTCTTTCCGGCTGCTGTAACTAAACTTCAAATATAATGGTAGCTTAGAGGAGGGGGATGTTTCTTCTGCTGGGCATCTAGTGCAGAGATCTGCAGTAATGGGGGCCCACACCTTCTTCAGTCTTATTTTCCTGCCATTCTGATACATTGTCAGACTTCATGTCCAAGGTCTGCACCAGCTCCCATTACTGTGTCTGCATTTCTACCCAGAGGGAGGAGGGAAAGAAGGGGATGGGCCGTTCTCTTTTTCTTTTTACTCTGTTTCAACAAGCTTGCTGGGTTTTTTTTTTTTTTTTTTTTTGAGCACCTGCCTTTTTCTGGACACTTAGATTCATCAGTGAATGAAACAAAATGCTGTGCCCTTGTAGTACTTTCCTTCTAGCAGGACAGTCAGAAATAACATACAAATAAGTGAACGATATACTATGTTTGAATGTCATGAATGCAGGGGAGGAAAAAAGGATAGAACAAGGTAAGGGGACTCTAATGTGTGTGTGTGTGTGTCGGGGGGCAGGTTGTACTTTTAAATAGTGGGCTAGAGCAGAACTCACTATAAAGTTGAGGTTTAAGCAAAGGCTTGTAGGAGGTGTAGGAAGAGCGTTCCAGACAAAGGGAAGGGCCAGAGGAAAACTGAGATACAGGCACACTCGGACAGCTCTAAGAGTAGCCCGGAGACACTGTGGTGGGGCAGAGTGAGAAGGGGAGGATGGCAGGAGGTGGAGTAACAGAGGTAAGGGTGGGGAATTGGTGGGGGGTAGGGAAGACTTAAGGCAGACAATCTGGGGCTTGTGTCCAAAATGGTAGCCACTTGGCTACCTAAAGTATTAAATAAAATAAAACATTCAGTTTCTCATCATACTTGCCATATTTCAAGTGTTTTGGTAGTTGCATGTGGCCAGTGGCTACTATATTCGTCAGCACAGTTATAAAACATTTCCATCATCACAGAAAGTTCTATTGGAAAGCACTGATCTAAGACCTTATAGGCTGTTTCAAGAACTTTGCTTTTCCTGCTCTGAAATGGAAGCTCCTTTCTTTATACTACCAGGAAGTTGCCCACCTCCTTTCTACTTGCATCCTATCGGACAGAACCTGATCACATAGCCACAGCTAGTTGCAAGGGAGGCTGGGAAATGTAATGAGCCACATGCTGATAGTTGAAATCTACATTACTATCCAAAAGGAGGAGGTTGGCTGTTGTGGGGGGGCCAGTTAGCAGTCTCTGTGTCCCCCAGGTCTGGTGAACCCCAAAGCACTCTTCACTGCACTGCTCTGTTTTGAACCTTGGGAGAGAATTCTTTGAGAAAAATAATCTGGAAATCACATCCTGGTGATCTCAGGCCCTGAGGTCTAGGAACCAGGTTGAGGTGCATTTAGCTGTCTGCTCTACCAACCTCTTGGACATTCAGATATCCAGTCCCCCAGCTTGTTTGGGGATCCTCACAGCTGCCCCATGGGCATCACCTGTCCACTATTGCAGGCTAGGGGCAAATCATAACATACTAGTCTCCTTTGGAGCCCCTGCTACTTCTCCTCGGGGTCTAATTGTCCCAGGACAGTTGCGAAGGAAGGTAGACCAATTTTTTAAGTGTTTGTTTCCACTCTGCCGTTTTCTATGCTCTCCTCGTCTTCAGTGACACTCCATACTGAACTCTTGTCGTCTTCTGTCTCCAGAGGAGTCAGTCTCCAATTTCATATGGAGATAATGGAGGGTTGTGTAGGTATGGTGGGCAGGGTGGGTACCACAGAGGACAGAGAGCAATCCTATCAGTACCCCCCAATCGCTCAAGTCTGAGCTGCAAGTTTGTGTTTTGAGAGCTGGTGAAAAGTCAATTTTTTTTTTTTTTTTTGAGACAGAGTCTTGCTCTGTAGCCCAGGCTGGAGTGTGTGATGTTGGCTCACTACAACCTCTGCCTCCCGGGTTCAAGCAATTCTGCCTCAGTTCCCCCGAGTAGCTGGAACTACAGGTGAGTGCCACCATGCCCAGCTAATTTTTTTGTTTTTAGTATAGGAGGGGTTTCACCATGTTGGCCAGGCTGGTCTTGAACTCCTGACGTCAGGTGATCCACCTGCCTTGGCCTTCCAAAGTGCTGGGATTACAGGCATGAGCCACCGTGCCTGGCCAAGATAATCTTGAGAAGGTGGTGGGGAGTGTCTGCCTCAGAAATCAGGATGAGGACCCTGAACCCCAGGGGACTGGGACATATGTGTTGGGACCAGGTTTCCATCCTAACAGCAATCCCTACTATCCTGCTGACGACCCATAAGACAGGCTGTGGTATGTCCCTAAGTAGCTACCTGTGTGATCCTCACAATCTGATGGTGCAGGAATAATGAGAAAAACTCAGAATTGTGTTTTAAAAAAAAAAAAAAAACCACCTTCCCCCAAACTGGGAGGGAGCTGAGAGGCCAAAAAGTGACTCAGACAAGTCCAGCTTGGTGAGTAGACGAGGTTTTTAGGACTTACATACAAGGCACTCCTGGATGGCAGCGGACAGCTTTAGAGATCTGTGCTGCCTCCCATCCTGAAGCTGCTTTCAAGCTAATTTTCTGACTCTTTGCTTACCCTGTATGCAAATGGACTGTTTTCCTTGGTGGGTTCCCAGATACTCTATGGGATGTTTGGGTTCTCAGGGACACCTGCTCCTCGGCCAGGCACCGTGACCTTGGCTGGTCACCTGGCCTTCAGGATTCAGGCAGCAGCCTACACCTTTAAGTAAACAGGTAGGGGACCTGTCACACTACAGCAGGTACCATCATTGTCCCCATTTTGCGAGTGAGGAAATGGAGGCTCCAAGAGGATGAGAAACATGCCCAGGAATTCACTTGTGGGCTGGTGTTACCTCATACTCACGTGGTTAGCCAGCACAGGCTCCGCTTGCACCTGGCCTCTCCTCCCCAGCACTTATGCCTGGCTGGGCATCCTCGGACAAGCTGAACCCCTCATCTCTCAACTGAGTGCCCACCCACTTCCCACCCTGATTACCTGTGTGGATCCTTGGGTCAGGGGAACCATGTCCTGGGGATGTTCTGCCTATGTCTCTTTCTTTGGTTTTTGAGTCCCCAGCCCCAATGCTTAAGCAAAAGGAAATGAAATAAAAACCTTGCTTAAACCAAGACATCTGTCTGGTGCCTGACTTCTCCACTGCTACTAGATCTCAGGCGAGTGACTTGCCCTCTCTGAGCTTCAATTTCCTTATCTGTGAAATAGGATAATGATACCTAGTATGCCACATTCAAGACTGCTGCAAACATTGAAATAGGGACGCAGGAGAAATGCAGGACTTCAGTAAATGTTGCTTCTCTTTATTCCCAGGTGTTCCGAAGATCTCAGTTCGGGGTGTGTTCATGTGCGTGCGTATATGTGTGAAGGGTGTGTGAGTGTCCCCAAACAACTCCCCAGATGCCTTCTAAGCCTGTGACACTGGTGTTGAGGGAGAGAGTGTCCATCCCTGGAACCCTCTGCTCAGCAGGGGGACAGTCAGAGACTTGAGCATCCAACCCCCTCTTCCTGCCAACTCTGTGCTCAGGGACTCACAGAGTCAAGCAAGTTACTGAATTCAGCATATACTGAATTTTATTTATTGCCACTCAGGAGGGTGGGGGCAGCTGAAAGACAGGGTCAGGGCCCACCCCCTGCATCCCCAGCCCAAAAGCCCGGGCCAAGAAGGACACAGGCTTCAATGACTCTCATGTGTTGCAGACAACATGGTGTTGAGATCTTGCATGGTGGAGGGTGACGCTGGTCCCTGAAGGGAGATGGAGGAGGAGGCAGAGCTGGGAACAAAGGGTTAAAGGGCGCGATGTAAGAGAGCTCTCCATTCCCACCGCAGAGATAGCCAGACCCCAGCAGAGGCCCAAACTGACTCACAAACACACAGCCCCATCCTTTCCCCTCCCAAAGAACTACCTTTTCAAGCAATTCCAAGAAGCTGGACTCATAGGAGGAATTTGTCAGAAAAGACTCCGTCAGTTTCAGTTGCAAAATCATACCTGGCCCTGCGGATCCAGAAGTACGGCTTAGGACCTAGCTGATTCCCCCGGAGACGCAGTACCCTCCTGCCCACGCTCCCCAGCACAGTTCCTCTTCCCCAACAGTGCCCCTCCAGAGCCTCCTGGAAGCTCAGGACTGGGGTGTCTCTGTCTCTCAGGGACCATGGAGTCCCACTCCCTTTCTCTGGCCTCTTCACGCCACAGGGACCCAGGAGTCCTGCCTGCCCTCTAGCCCTCACCTGTTCCATGTGAGCTGCCAAGGAGGGTCAAGAGGAGGACAAGGGGCAGCCCAGACCCCATAGTGGCCACCACACTCCTGGGATGGAGGAGACACTGAAGTCCCAGTGGCCTCTCCTTGCCAGGCCTGCTTTCTACACCCCACTCAAGCCTTAGCATAAGTGTTTGAGGGGAAGTGGGAGGGGGAATCTGGTCAACTGAATTTTCCAGTTCTCCCAGTAAGAGAGGACCCAGGAGAGGACCATTCACTGTGCTCTTGGGGAAAAGAGAAGGAGATTCCCTCTCTTCACTCTGTGTCCCACCCCTACCTTGTGTCTCCAGGTTTGAGGGAGTGAGTGCTGGTCCTACAGACAGGGAGATGAAGAGGGAAACAGGGACCAGGGAGGCGTCCCTCCTGCAGGTGTCTGGACCCCACCCATGCCCGGACCTCCCAAGGCTCTTTAGAGATTAATTATTAACTGCAGTTAATTTTCATCATTCTTGACACCGAAGGACTCAGGAATGTGGGCCCAAAAGGGAGGGGTGGATTAAGCCAAGTTTCTTCCAGAACCCAGGTGTCCTGCTGCCTCAGCTTTTTTTTTAAAGACTAGTCAAGTGCAGTAGTGAAAAGGGGAGAAGGAGTAGAACAAGGAGTTGGGTCTCTAATGGACTGTGAACACTGCTCCCCGAGCCTTGGTGGCTTTCTAGATGAGAAATCTGGTTATGGGAACTTCCATTGCTGAACATTCTGTTTTACTTGCTCTAACGCATCCTAGATTGTCAGGTGGAAACACGAGTTTCCTCAGACATTCTCCCACCCCTGCCTTGTGCAGCCATGAAAAGAGGACGCCCACCTACTCCCGGCCGAGACGCCTACAGGCAAGCTCTGGGACAGGCAAGCACAGGACAGATGTGCAGAGGGAGTTACTGACCCTCTTTAGAAACTAGGAAAGTAAGGCACAGAGAGGGTAAGTGACCTGCTAAGGTCACCCAGTCAACCAGTAGCAGAGCGATTAGAACCTATCAGACACAGGGACACACCAGCCATGGAAACTCGCTTGAACACACAAAGGCACAGGCCTGCGTCTTCCTATCTGCCTCTTCCCTATGCAGCCTCTCCACCTTCCCCAAAGCCAGCGGGACTGAGCACAGAGGGACGAAAGCAGAGAGCGCACTGGGCAGAGGTAGTGGGAGCGCAAAAGCAAGATGGAGAAACAGAGATAGAGGTCTGCACTGTAAATGGAAAGTGAGGCAACCAGTGACTCCCAGACTTGCACAGGAGAACAGGAAGACCACAGTGAGAAGAAAGTATGGAGGAGAAGAGCAGCAGGCACAGGAGGAATAAGCAGGAGGTAGAATTTGGGAACGCAGAGAGATCTTCCTTGGAGAAGAGTAGGAGCCCTCCCTCCTTCCCTCCCTCCCTTTTTTTTTTTTTTTTTTTTTTTACCGGGTCTTACCCTGTCACCTAGGCTGGAGTGCAGTGGTGCGATCTTCTCCTGCCTCAGCCTCCCGGGTAGCTAGGATTACAGGCACCCACCACCACACCCGGCTAATTTTTGTATTTTTAGTAGAGATGAGGTTTCCCCATGTTGGCCAGGCTGGTCTCCAACTCCTGACCTCAGGTGATCCACCCACCTCGGCCTCCCAGAGTGCTGGAATCACAGGCATGAGCCACTGCACCTGGCCTCCCCTACACTTTCTACAGGCATGTGCTAGGCTCATCACTAAGTATTCCTTTATAGCTCATAAGCACCTGTGAAGTAGGTACTAGATTACCCTGATTTTAGAGGTGAAATTAAGACTTAGGCCTGTGACTTGCCAGAGAATGCACAGCTCAGCAGTGGTGGATTCCAGCGCAGTGGACTCAGCCCACGTGCTGAGCTTCCGGGGATTCAGGGCTGTCTGGCTCCAGAGCTGGGTTCTGACCTTCCATATCACACTGTCCCAAAATATGACATGTGTCTTCCTTGGTGCCCCTTATCTCCCCTTTCCCCTTCCCTGTCAAAGGAACGGAAAGCTCTGTGAGCCGCAGCCATCTAGGTGAGAGATGGCTCAGGTATTGACCTTCCCAGCCCACCCTTAGGTTTCCAGAAGGTCAAATGCACAGTCCTAGACCCTCATGGTCCCCCTACAACCCCAGTTTCCAAATCCTGCTTCCCTGAGGGACTCATACGTCCTGACTTCCAATGGTTGTACTTCTAGGAACAAGAGGATGACCTTGGGATAGGACATTTGGGTCTACCCTTTTAAAGGATGGTCTGGGCTATGGATTGACTCAGACCTGGGGGACAGGTCCCTAGTCCAGGAAGAGCCCAAGGGCCAGGTGGGGGAGCCCGCAGGCTCTTACTCACTCTCCCCCTCACCCAGTGCTTCCTGGGATCAGGCTGGGACAGGTTAATCCTCTGGGACAGCTTGGTGACCTCTCCCTAGGGATGGAGATTCTGGTGTCGATGGAGGCCCTGGCACACCTGGCTCTCCTGGGACTCGTAATAGGCCCCAGAGCCTTTAAAGAGCCTGGGAGATGGGCCTTGCCAACACGCTTCAACTGGCGCCATGAACACTGTGCTGGTACTGCTCCTGGGCCTGCAGGCCTTGTCTGGACCCAGTGAGCACTCGGGCCTGGACAGGAGGTCTTGAGGGAGGACATGAACTTTGGACCCAGTGGGATGGCCAACTCTTCTATGGTTTTTCTTTTTTCAACAGTTCAGCTGACCCTACTGGGGACTTCTGACACAGTATCCCCAGGTCTCCTCTCTGTCTCTGGAGGTCTCCCCTCTGTCTCTGGAAGTCTCCTCACTGTCTCTGGAAGTCTCCCCACTGTCTCTGGAGTTCTCTCCGGTTTCTGGAAGTCTCACACTGTTTCTGGAAGTCTTCTCACTATCTCTGCAACTGTCCCCACTATCTCTGGAAGTCTCCCCACCACCTCTGGGAGTGTCTCAACAGCTTCTTCAACCTCTGGGAGTTTTCCCAGCAGTCCTCAGCCTTTAGCTCCAACTGTTTCTAGGAGCACTTCAGGAACAGTCTCCACATCATCAGGTGATATTTCTGTTGCTCAACCCATCTCTGGAGAACTCTTCAGCTCGGTCTGTAGTTCTGGGGTGGGGCTTCCTGCAAGCCTGGCAGTTTCCCAGAACCTCATTGGAAGCAGCTCCCTTGCCTTTGTGGCTATACAAGGGCCTCTCTTTCTGTTTTCCAATTCATCACCTTTTTCTGTCATGATTACTGCCTTCCTATCCTAAGACTTTTTTGCTTACTTCAAGGTCATGAAAATATTTTCCTCTGCATTCTTCTAGAAACGTTATTATTTTAGCTTTCGAACTTAAGCCTATTATCCATCTCAAGTTAATTTCTGTGTATGGAGTGGGGTGGAAGTCAAGATTCAATTTTTTCTTCTTATGAATATCCAGAACCATTATTTCCAAGGACCCTCCCCTGTCCCCACCATTGAACAGTGAGCACCTGTCCCGAAAGTCTAGTGACTGTATTTGTGTGGGTTTGTCGGTCAGTGTTTTTTTTGAGATGGAGTTTCACTCTTGTTGCCCAGGCTGGAGTGCAATGGTGCGATCTTGGCTCACTGCAACCTCTGCCTCCCGGGTTCGAGTAATTCTCCTGCCTCAGCCTCCTGAGTAGCTGGGATTACAGGTGCCCACCACAACACCCAGGTAACTTTTTTGTATTTTTAGTAGAGACGGGATTTTACCATGTTGGCCAGGCTGGTGTCGAACTCCTGACGTCAGGTGATCTGCCTGTCTCGGCCTCCCAAAGTGCTGGGATTACAGGCGTGAGCCACTGCGCCCAGCCTATCGGTCAGTTCTTACTCCAGGGCCACAGTGCTTAAGGACTACAGCTTTGCAGCAAGTCTTGAGATCTTATAGTGTAAGTTCTCCTTTTTTTTTTTTTTTTTTAAGAGACTGTCTTGGTTATTCTCAGTCTTGATTTTCATAACATCAGTTCATCAATTTATTCCAAAAGCTTGCTAGGGTCTTGTCTTTGGGTGCATTTGATGTGACTTCTGCTTTGCACTTGCTTGAATCTCTTCTGTTTTTTCCCTCTGCCCTCTTAGGACCTGCCTCCTCCAGTGCTCCTGGAACTGCTCCAACTGTGCCTGGGACTTCAGCACTGAGTGTTGCTGTCTTAGGGTTCCACTGCCACCATGGCTGGAGTGGTCACCATGTCCCCTGGGCTCAGCATCCTGGCCAGTTAAGGCACTCTTCTAGGCATTACAGTAAAAGGTTGATGGGCCTATTCGATCTCATTCCCCTGCAGCCACCCCTGGTTCCTTGGGAGGAGTTCAGGGATAGTCAATAGCTCCTGCTTTCAACTGTGTTTTAAATCTGTCTGAGGATGTGTCTGTAGCTCAAAGGCGTTTTGGCGGCCTCTGGTCAGACCAACTGCCAGATGTCTGTTACCTGGCTGCTTTCTTGAAAGGTTTTCATCTTCCTCATGATCTAATCTCTCTGTCCAGGGCGAGAGGCATTCCCTCCAGAGATCACCCCTCCTTCCCCCAACTTCCTCCTCCCCTCCCTTTCATTCCTAGAAGGGGAGCTTGGGGAATACCCCGCAGGAAGTCTGAGGGCAGGAAACGAATGGAACGAAGACAGGAGAGCAGGCTCTGATTTCCCTTAAGAACAAGAATCAGGGTGGAGTGGTGGGGAGAACTGGGGCTAGGAGGAAAGAGAGTGCCTACTGAGGACCCTCCCAGTGCAGAGGCATCACAGACCCAGGGATGCGGACAATAGGGCCTGAGAAAGTCAGTGAGGTGGGGACCTCAGTGATGAGTCTGGGACTGACAGACGTGTCCACAGGGAAGAGGCAATTGAGACTTGGATTGAAGCTCTTTAAACCCCCACCCCCACCCCTGCTGAGATTCTGCTTCCAAGGTGATAGGAGAAAACACCAGAGAGATGAGGTCTCAGAGTCAGAGACATCAGTCACAGAAAGAAAGATGGAAAGTCGGAGGGCAGTGGGGGTCTGGGGATCTGGAGGCATCACCTGCCTCAGTCACTGGCCCTGTCTTTGTGCCCTAGGTCTGAAACCCCAGAAGGACTCTGTCTCAGACTGGGCCATTGTGTTGATCACTCTCACTTTGGTGGCAGCAATTGTCAACCTAATGTATGGTATCAAGAAGGTGAGCAACTCTGTGGTCCAATGTGTGGGATCCCTGTGCCAGTGGGGCTGGGACCTGGTGCCCCAGGATTCAGAGGAGAACAGGGCTTTGGGGAGGGAATGACAGCTTGTAGGGCTTGTTGCAGGGAGGGGAAAGAGAGCCGTTGTCTCAGTGGCTGAGAAAAACACTGTTCTGGCAGGGACGGGGCGTTGGGGCCACTGAAAGAGGTGGGGGAGTGCTGGAAGCTGACTGGCGCGTGGAAGCGCTCAACTCAGCTCTAGGCAATGAAGGACCAGCTCTGTGGAGCCACATTCACTTGGGTTTGAATCCTTGTGCAAGTTACTTAACCTCTCTGTGCTCTGGATTCTTCATTAATAATAATACTTTAAAAATAATACTTACATCGCACTGATTATGTGCTAGGTGCTGTACATATTTTAGTTCACAGCAAGCCAGTGATATAGGAAATACTACTCCTCATTTTCCAGATGAGGTAATTGAGTCCTGGATAAATGAGAATGATGGCATCCATCTCAAAGGGTGGTTGGGAGGATCAAATAAGCTTACGCAGAGCGAGCACTAATGGTGCTTGGCATGTATTATAGTAAGTGCTCAATATACAGCCTTATTCATTATTATTGCTGTTTTTGCTCAAAGAGGAACGCTGAGTGCCTGGGTTGCCAAAAGGAAGCAGCAGTTCACAGGAAGAGCTGGACTGAGCAGCAGGTTCTCGGGCCCCTTGATTGACCCGTCATACCCTTCCCTCATCTCACAGGCCTGCCAGTTCCAGAGGGAGTGGCTGTGGCTCCGTGTGACTGTGGCTGTCTGTGGGGTGTGGCTGTGGCTCCGTGACCCCTTACAGCTGCCACCATGAGGCGGAGGCCGCCAGTCAGCACTACTCTGTCAAATGCAAGGTGGGGCAGGGGCAGCTGAGCGCCTACCCTTTGGCCTTCCTTCTTCGTCTCCCAAATAGTCTCATTCCCAGACTCCCCTATCCCATTCACCCTAGCCGGAACCTTTCTCTGCAGGTAGATTCCTGGGGTCACTGGCCCCCAGGTCTCTTCCACCCACAGCGTAAGGAGGAGTCCACTGTCAGTCACAAGATTCTGCTCTCTGCCCTGCCGCCAACCATGCAGACTGCGGGAAGGTGCCCAGCTTCTCTGAGGACAGTTTTCTCATCCGTGGAAGGAAGGACCAGGGCTAAGTGGCCTGCAGGCACCTTCCAGCCCTCATGGAGCCCAGGTCTGGACAGCTGGAATCTCTGCTCCTCACCCTCTCTTCCTAGTCCCACCCTCCTCCCTGACGATCAGAGAAGCTCTTTAGCTGAGGACAGTCTGCTCATGGCTTCCCTTCTCACCTTCCTCCACAGGGAGCCCCCTCAGGCTGGCTCTTGAGCCCCCAGGGCCCTCCGATTCTTTCCCCTCAGAGCAGGTGCAGAACCGTCCTCTGTGCTGCCCCCTCAGTCCTCTCCAGGAGGGTGGTGAACAAGTTACTGCTAAATAAAATGGCACTTCCTCCACTTGTCTCGCAGACGCTGTGGGTTTGCCCAAGTGCATGGGCTTTTGTGTCATGCGGGCCCAGAAGGGCCAAGCCCGGTCTCTGCCACTTACAAGGGCAAGTCATTCCCTGATCCGAAGCTCATTTATCCTCATCTGTAAAGTGAGGGGTGACAGGTGATGACTCATAGGTGAGGTGCTTAGTACATTCTTCAGTACATAGAAATGGCCAAACATTGGTAGTTGGCAGGGCTGTTTTATGACTGGTCTCTCAGCCTCCAGCTCAGACGAAGCAACATGGACTGACTGTAAGAGACTGTTTTGGGCCTCCACCTACCTCCAGGTTTCTCCACCCCAGACACCAGGGTCCTTGGGGTGGAGTTGTAGCTAAGAGAGAAGGGAAGGGGGTGTTCATTCACAAACCCTGGTTAATGCTTATTCTAAAGCAGAGATCCTCAACTTCAGCACAATTGGTGTCCTGGGCTGGGTAATTCTTTGTTGTGGAGACTGCTCCGGGCATTACAGGATGTCCCACAGCATCTCTGGCCTCTACCCCCTAGATGCCAGTAGCATCCCACTCCAAATTGCGACAAAAATGTCTCCAGAAATTTCCAAATGTTCCTTGGTGTGGGCAAAATTGCTCCTCCTTGTACAGAACCACTGTCCTAGAGGCTTGGGTCCCTGGGGAAAGGATGGGGAAGGGGACCAGTGAAAAGGGGGACTGTCAGTCAGCCGAGTTCACATGGAGTTGCAGAGGACAGCCTGTCTCTGCCTTAGTTTCTCCATCCTGCAGGATACATTGCCTGGGAGGCAGGCTGCCCAGTTCTGAGTAGTCAGTCTTTAATCTCCCATGAATCACATTGATAAGCAGTTGGCCTCCTCTTCCCACCTATTCCAGCCCTGCCCAGGGCTTAGGGATAAGTCACGCCAAGTAAGGAGAAGAACCCACGTGTCCAGTTCTCTAGTCCTCTCATGAGCCCAAATGCCCTGAGGGCCTGGCCTCCTGCCCTCAAGTCCTGGACTTCTCTACGGCCTTTGCCTGCTCCCACTTCCCTCAGAAAGGCATCCTCTGGCCCTGGTTTCCACTCCGTCCAGGTGGAGTGGAAACATTTATTGATTGCCTACTGTGTGCCAGACACTGTCCCAGGCCCTGACGACACAGCACGGATCCAAGGTGCCTACTTTCCATCCATGGAGAACCACAGTGGGCAGAAAGGGGTTGTGACTTATCTGTGCTACAGACCCAGGGAGTCTGTCCTCCCCTACTCCAGTCCCAGGCACTGTCACTAGGGAGACAAGTGAGTCTCTGAGCTAATGCTTGCATTAGGCAGGAACTGAGGAAGGGAAGGGGGAGCGCCGGGGTGCTCCTAAAAATGAGATATCTGCATTTCTGTACAGGAGTGAATGGGGACTTCGAGGCAAAGAGACAGCCACTGAGCAGAGGTGGGAGGGAAGAGGTAGAGTGAAAGCAGAAGCCCCTGTATGTAGAGCATCTCTTGGCCAAAGATCTTGGCCTCGGTCCCTCTGGGTGGCCTGACCTGTCTGTGTCCCTGGTGAGGGGTGTGACATCTGTCCCTGTGGTTCTGTGTCTTGTCTCTGTCACTCTGTCTGCACTCTCCACACATTGTTGTATGACCACTGAACATCACGAAGCACCTGTCTCTGCAGCGAGGGTCATTCGAGGGCTTTCTCTCGCCTTTGCTCTTTCACCTGATCCTCGTGGGCAGCTCCGCCCAAGGTGGCAAGAATGACCATGTGTGAATAAGGGGTGTGGAAGCTGAGCTGACGCGGGAGAGGTAGGAGGGTGCATGTGAAGCTGGACACAGATCAGAATGTGAACCCCACCCCGTCCTGCTCCCAGCCAGAGTTCAGTTCTTCTAGAACCGGGCCATCTGCTCCCCAATTCCCCAAAGCCCTGGAGGCACCACCCTCACTTCTCTCCACTGGGGCTGGCTCAGGTGCCTGCTCCTTTCTGGTTCCTCTGCCCTGCCCCCAGATCCCACCCCTCGGCAGGCACCCACGTGCCTGGCTCCATGACACAGCAGCTGCGGTCTCCTCTTATCAGGGCTCCCCTGTGGGTTGGGGTGGCTCCATTTGTTTAAGACTTAGTCCTGAGGAGCCCCAGCCCCCATGACGTCAAGATTGGCTCCATATAAGGTGAGAGGTCCGCAGCCCATGGTCCCCAAGCAGCCACCCAGCTCCGACATGGCCCAGACGGTCCACAGCCTCTGCTCCACCTTTGGCCTCCAGTGCTGCCTCCTCTTCCTTCTAGCTTCTTGGGAGGCAGGTAAGATGCCCACAGCGGGTACAGAAGATAGAAATGGCTTGTTTCTTAGTGCTCATAGAGTTGGACAACAAATAGAAAGGAATGAAGGGAGCGGGCACAGGACTGCTACAGACAGTTGTCTAGAGTGTTCTCTGCTCAAGTTTGCCGGCTAAGGGACATGTAGTAGGAGATGAAATCCAGCCTGTGCTCTGCTCTTTAAAACATGGCTCACAGGGCTGCACCCATCCAGAGGGGGTTTCAAGTTTGCATAAAGACACTGTAGAGGGTGGCAGCCCTGTGTGGTGGGGGTAGGCACCTGACATTTGTTGAACACCAACTCCAGCTCCGTGCATGGAATTCACAGCTGCTCATGGTGATTTCTTTCTTCTTCTTCTTCTTCTTTTTTTTTTCTTTTTTTGAGATGGAGTCTCGCTCTGTTGCCTAGGCTGGAGTGCAGCGGCGCAATCTTGGCTCACTGCAGCCTCCGCCTCCTGGGTTCAAGCGATTCTCCTGCCTCAGCCTCCTGGGTAACTGGGATTACAGGCGCCTGCCACCATGCCTGGCTAATTTTTTGTATTTTTAGTAGACAGGATTTCATCATGTTGGCCAGGCTGGTCTCAAATGCTTGGCCTCAAGTGATTTGCCTGCCTCGGCCTCCCAGAGTGCTAGTATTACAAGCGTAAGCCACCGCGCCCAGAGACTCATCTCATCTCAGCATCCCCTGAGGTGGCTAATAATATCCCATCTTATAGTTGAGGAGAGTGGACTCAGAGTGATTTGGTGCCATATCTCACAGCTAGAGGGAGGTAAGCAGAGATTCCACCTCCACTGCCCCCAGCCCTGGGGGACAGGTGGAACTTCTCTCTTGAGAGCTCTGTTTTGTGCAGACCTAGTTTCCAGTCCTGACTCTGACCCATTTGGCTACTCTGGCCTTCCACACCATCTGTAAAATGGGCTGGATGCTGCTGCCCGGCCATACCAATATTTGTTGCCTACAGAGCATTTACACGGCACCAGGTGTTGCTCTAGGGACTTCATCCACGTTTACTCATTTAATCCACATGGCAACTCAGAAAAGTGTGCATCAAAGGCTCTGTCCTTGTCTTACAGTTGGAAAACATCTCAGGGCTTTGAGAGAAAATGAGTATGGACAAGTTTGACAAACAAAACAAACCCTAAAGATAAGATGAAATTGTGAAATTAGTTCACTTAGTCAAGAAACGGACTGCAACTGAACCCGGGGAGCAGAGATGCTAAACACAGGGGCGGTGTGGAGGGCCTGGGCAATTTGGAGGAGGGTCTCCACAAGGCAGATGTACAGCAGCAGATTCAGAGACACTGTCTACCCACTGGACAGTCATCTAAGGACAGAGCCATCCACAGTAACGGCGCTGATGATCTGGAACCAGGGCTGGGACAGTCATGAGTCTGGAAGTCTCCTCCAAGCAGTACTGGTGGCAGGGCAGGCAGGCAGCACCTTCTCCTTCCAGTAGTGCAGACAGAGGGTGATGTTAGAGGCAGTGCCCCTTCCCTGAGCACAGGCAGGTTGCGGCCAGGGGTGGAGGCAAGGGCAGGTGGGTGGTGAATGGCGGGAACTGAGCAATCTTTGAGCTGCCTCTGAAAGATATCAGCAGTGCGTCCTGTCTGTGCCCTGACTTGATGTTTGTCTCCCCTACCTTAAGGGTCTGGAGACAGAGGCACCAGAGCTGCCCAACACCTCCTGGCCCCATCTCGCCTGCCTTTCCTTCTCCTTCCCCTCAGGCGGATTGTCCGCCGGCTGCTCTGTCCTCCTTCCATCTTGCAGCTTAAGGAAGACGAACCTGCAGGGGGTGGAAGGGAATCCCCTCCATACACAGTAGCTCTTCTGAGATTTGCTTCAGGGCAGAGATCTGAATTCCTGAGATTCCGATGGGGCCATGTGGGCGTGGTCTCGGAGAGGAGATGGGTGTGGCAGGGCGGGATGGAGGGAGGGGTGAGGAGGACATGGGGAGCTGGCTGCTCCCATTCTGCAGATTTTGAAGACAAGAGCAAGTAGGTGACAGGTGGGGATGGCTTGAGGCTGGGCTTGGGTTGTGATGAGGTCGGGTGGAACTGGAGTGTGAATCAGGGCTAGTCCATGGCTGTGCCCAGCAGAGAGAAAGGCCTGGGCAGGACGGGAAGAGGGACAACTGGGATGGATGAAGCCCTTTAGTCTACCATTCTGGTGAGGGGGCCCTGACATTTGTCCACAGGACCAGTCAACACGCAGACAGATAACTAGATCCTGGAACCCCAGAGTCTGCATCATGCAGTCACAGAACCACGGGTACAGTCTAGATTAAATCATCAGGGGGAGCACAGGTGCAGTCTAGATTAAATCATCCAAGGGAGCACAGGTGCAGTCTAAATTAAATCATCAGAGGGAGCACAGGTGCAGTCTAGATTAAATAATCAGAGGGAGGCACAGATGCAGTTTAGATTAAATCATCAGAGGGAGCACAGGAGCAGTCTAGATTAAATCATCCGAGGGAGGCACAGGTGCAGTCTAGATTAAATCATCAGAGGGAGGCACAGGCACAGTCCAGATGAACTCACCTGAGGGAGCACAGGTGAGTCAGGAGATGGGAATTGGGACTGGGGTCCTTGGAAGAATCTAACAAGAACATTTTCCTATAACAAATGCTATTTGATTTAATTTCTGTAACACAAATAATGTATGCTCATTGTAGAAAATGGAAAATAGAAAAAATCAGAAAGAAAAATAAAATCTCTCTGTATACTCCCTAGTCCCCAGGCAATCATTTGATTATATCTCCCTTTAGCTTTCCTTTTTTTTTTTGTTTTTGTAGAGACAGGTCTCGCTATGTTGCCCAGACTGGTCCTTCTGCCTCAGCCTCCCTAAGTGCTGGGATTATAGGTGTGAGCAACTGTGCCCACCAGTTTTCTTTTTCTATGTCTGTGTTTTAAGCCACTTATTGAACTAATACTGTATAGATATTTTAACAAGCATTTACCCACATTATTGCAAATGGAGCATGCCATTTATGGGGGTAAGGATACCAGGAAACACTAGAGATGCTCTTTTGGGAGAGCGTGCTCTGACAGAGACTCCAAGGCATGAGTTGCTTAGTAAGATGTTCTCTCTTCCTCCCTCCCTCCCTCCCTTCCTTTCCTTCCTTCCCTTTTTCTCTTTCCCTCCCTCTCTCTTCTTCCTTTCTTTCTTTGCCTTCCTTCCTTCCTTCCTTCCTTTCTTTGTTTCTTTCTCTCTCTCTCTTTTTCTTCTTTCCTCCATTTCTCCCTCCCTCCCTTCCTTCTTTTCTTTCTTTTTTCTTCTTTCCTCCTTTCCTTCCTTCCTTCCTTCTTTCTTTCCTTCTCTTTCTTTCTTCTTTTGACAGACTCTCGCTCTGTGGCCCACGTTGGAGTGCAGTGGCATGATCTTGGCTCACTGCAACCTCCACCTCCCAGGTTCAACTGATTCTCCTGCCTCAGTCTCCTGAGTAGCTGGGATTACAGGCTGCCGCCACCATGCCCG